TACTTTACCAGCCTACCAACAGGTGTGTCTACATAGTATACATCAGGTCACTACTGTTACGTCGTCCTACATTTGGGTTTACATCGTACATCAGGCACATTTTTGTTTTAAGTCGTAAGACACTGTGTTAGCTCTGAATTAGAAATATGTTCTAATTTTGTTGATCTTCTTCAGTTTGAACCCAACATTTTCTCATATACAGCTTACATGTGTCAATCATTTCCAAATCAAGAACCGCGCTACGTTATAGTTACATTTTTGTGTGTCTTGGGATTTTCAGCCAAACTCGGTTCATCGTGAAATCGATACCCAGATTCACTTCTACAAACCTTACTATAAACTCAGAGAGGAACTGAAGAACTGAGGCCTGTTTTCAGTGACCGTCTTATTAAGGTATATACACACCCACCCACATATATATAATAAGATACTTTTCTTTGGTTCATTTAGTTTTTATTTTTAGTTTAAAAAGTAACATAAAAGCTTTAAGAAATTGGAACAATCGCAAATATTTATTCCGTTTGTTAGATTTATTAAACTGTAACGTGAATCGCATGTAATGTCTAAGGATTCTTTTGTCCAAGCATTTAGTTCATGATTCTTTTATACCATTTTCACTACAATAAAAACAAATATATAAATAAATTAATGAAAATAAAATATCTCCAAGTGAAGTTTGAATGTGATGCAAATGTGTAACAGAATGTTGCCCATGTTTAATTAACACCATCTCGTTATTATGAGGCGGTGTTTTTGTTAACCTATTTTATTAATAATTATATGTTAATTTCTCAGTTTGCCGTACTGTAACGCTATATTGTTTGGTTTGTTTTGAATTTCGCGGAAATGGCAAGATCTGTTAGCCGTCCCTAATTTGGTTATGATAGCCGTCAACTCTTGAGCTATTCTTTTCCCAATGAATGGTTGGATTGACCATCAGATTATACCGTCCTCATATTCGGCAACGGGGATTCGAACTCTAGACCTGCAGAGTGCGAGTCAAGTGCCATAACCACTAGGCCTAAGTAGCGTCCAAATTTTTATAATTTCTATCTAGTAGTAGTAGTAGTACTAAAAGAGAATTTTATTCACGTCAGAGATTTGATAATGTTAATGAGTATATTTGTTTCGAAAATGTGTTACTAAGCTACACAAAGACTATCTACACCACCCGTCCCTCATAGTAATAGTCGAGAGGAATGGCAGCTAGTCAACAACACCCGCCGTACATTCTTGGAATACTGTAATTGAACAATGGAACTTCATCGTTATTCTTATGACACACGGTCCCAACGCTGAAGGCACGAGACACAAACCCTGGGATTCAGAGTCCGGCAGGCTAAACACTAGAGGGAGGAGGAGACAGTCGTAAATAAATAGAAATTTTCTGGAATCAATAAAACCATTTTAAAATATTATTTGACAGTTTCACACAATAACAAGTACTGTATTGTACATACAAAATATAAATCAAATTGTTTGATTTGTTCTACAAAATAGAAATAACACGACTGTTTCGTATAATAACCAGTATACACATATAGATCTATAAAAAGTTACTAACAACATTATGTATAAACTTTATCAACGAACTGTAGTCTCCTTTCACTTCGTCTGGCAAAGTCATCTGACTGCATGGGAAAAGACTAAATAAAAAATAATTACTGGAGGGGTCTATGCAACCCACCTCCTCCCGGTTCCGATGTCTATGATGATCTTACCTACTTGTCATTTGCATGGAATATGATAAGGTTTCCAGTAAATGACAAATGATTTAAAGTCGGATTGGCATTTGCAGAGTTTCAAGTGAAGCATTATATTTTACTACAGTAGCGAGCGATCCCTGGAATGCAATTTCGGCATCTGGTAAACGTTACAAAATTGATGTCAGAAACTATCACCAGAGGAACATTTTCGCTGATTGGTTGTTGTTAAGCGCAAAGCTACATAATAAGCTATTTGTGCTCTGTTCACCACAGGTATCGAAAACCAATTTTTAGCGAAGTTCGTCAAATATAATGCTACGGAATCTGTGTCTCTCTGACTTCGTCAACTAGAAAATTACATAATAACAAAACATAATCGGGGCAGAAACACAAAACAATGAAATAAAATAAGGGTTACATTGGATGTATTGAATCGACAAGAGAGAGAAGTTTACAAAGAGACATTTATTGGTTTTCTCTCGCTAGTTCAGTGTGATCCCCTCCCCCCATAAGCTAAATAAAAAAGGAAGTTAAAACAATAGATCAAAATAGCCCCTAAAATGATAATAGAAGTTAGACTTTTTGGAAGCAAAACAAGTTCCTGAAATAAAACACTGTTAAAACTTTTAGAATCTTAATCAAAATAATTTGCACAAAATCTGCCTAACAGAAATTAGCCTGGCTTTATATATATTAAAATATTAGAGCATCAACAAAACCAGGCTGCTCACGTCACGCACCTCGCATACGTTTCTTTCAGCAACTAGAATTCAGGAGTGGGAAAATTTTGGACTATTACACGATTGGCTGACAGAAAAGACAGCTAGTTGTCTGTTTACAAGTGAAGTCGTAGCTATTTTATCAGTAAGAAAATACATCTAATGACCAAATAAACGAAGATTAAATGGGCAGTAACTGGCTAGTTCAGAGTGACACTTGAAGGGAAAATCTAGGAAGACTTTTTTTTTTATCTTCAGGGTCGTCATTTTCACCAGAGCTACAGTTAGTCTTTGTTTGTTCATCATGATGACTCTGCCTAAATCATCTATAATAGAATACGCTTAATGACTACTTAGTGGACCCTAATCTTTTGTTGAGCTACAGTAAGGAAGAGTTGATTTTCTTACTTAAGAGAATCGCTGCGTTTAAATTAGAGGAGACTTAAAACTAAAACTAAGATGACAACAATAACAATAAATAGATAAACACAAAGAGTTACGAAATAACTTTTATAAATTACGAAATATATAGATCAATATATAGTTGCCCCCTGATCTACTTATCTGCCACCTCCCGGTGGGTATGGTTATTTATTTTCTATATTAATATTAAGTATATTCTGGGTACATTTTGTTCTTGTTAAATAAATTCTGGCTATGTTTCAGTCTCTCTGTTAACTAAATTCTAGGACAAAATGAAACGTTTAAGGTACCGGCCATTTCTGTTGAAATTTCTCCTGATGTAACTCATTGTGGTACAGGGTGCTATCATATGTTTACTACTCCGTTAGTTTATACATAACTTTCTCGAAATTGCTGGTTTGTTTCATTTCTAGGTAAAAAAACGCTCCGTACGCGCATACTGTGTGTAAAAAATGCGGCGTCTTTGGTATTACTGACGAAATAATAGCTTTTTTATATATTCGTAACTTAATGTAGATAGTTGTTTTATAAAGAAAATGTTATCTTTGATCCTCAGCCTTCTTGACTCGCCATTCAATCCATAACTCGAGTGAAAGGAATGAATTTAACAATAAAAATAAATCGTATTTTCACTAATATGATTACTCAATAGTCTGCGCTGTAGGATTGAACTCGTGGATGATTTGAAGTGATTTTCAACATAATTTATTCTCCAACGTTCCGCGAGGCCGTTGCTTCGTTTTGCCTGAAGCTGCAGTACGATTAATGATTGCAATTAAATCTTTTAAAATCTCCATTGGCAGAAATATATATTTAAAACTACCTTTAATCATTTCTACGTGCAGCCGAAGTTCGTGATATTAATCAAGATCATAAAAGCGCTATATTAATATATTTAAGTTGTCGTGTTTTTTTTTGTTTTTTTCTAAAAGGACTAGAAATAAATATAAAAGATAAGCCAAGTAAATAAATGAAACACTTCTTGTGATCGACAGAATATTTCACTCCGTGTCCTCAATTTTCAAATTGATGCTCAATCTGAGGAACAAAATGTTATCTTCAGTTGGCAAGGCAAGAGTACGGAAATAATAATAATAGTAAAATGACCGTGTAATTAGTTTAAAGTTATAGTGATGTGGTGACGTAATGCATCATTTCCTGATTTGCACATGATTATACATTATGAATTAGAATACGTGTGAATACAGTAAATCCAGAAAAGTAATTAAGAGGGCTATAATTTATCTAGTCATAAATTCACGAAGTTTCGTTTATTATCATTTCATAGAACGTCGGAGTATGTCCCCAAAAAATAACATATTGACGAACCCATTCTCTAAACTAGTGCCATCTATTGACGACTTAGTAAATTAAAATGCTGGCTTATTATAATAAAATTTTACGAGCATTATTCCCCTCCTTTAACTATATGTTAAATGCAACGCGCTAAATATAAAACATATTTGAAACCATATACAAAAAAAAATGTATCTCGTAATAATGGAAAACTGTGATGATGATGTCATCAATAATATCTGTATTTTAATATATCCCGAAAACATTTACTGCATGATAAAAAATAAAAACCTGTTACGTCAAAATACGACAGTAATATTGTTTAAATTAATATTCACATTGATACTTGTATTCCTCTATTATTATAAATTATTCATGTTCTTATCACAGCAGCTTATAGTAGATATTGAATACAGATAAGCCATTTAAAGCTAGCTCACCAGTGGCACAGCGATATGTCTACGGACTTCTACTACTAGAAATTGATAAGGAAAGCACAGGTAGCTCTTTGTTTGTTTTTGTGCTTAATAACAACAATTCAGGCCCAGCATGGCCAGGTGGTTAGGACACTCGACTAGCAATCTGAGGGTCGCGGGTTTGAATCCCCGTCACACCAAACATGCTCGCCCTTTCAGCCGTGGGGGCGTTATAATGTGACGGTTAATCACACTATTCGTTGGTAAAAGAGTAGCCCAAGAGTTGGCGGTGGGTGGTGATGACTAACTGCTTTCCCTCTAGTCTTACACTGCTAAATTAGGAACGGCTAGCGCAGATAGCTCTCGTGTAGCTTTGCGCGAAATTCAAAACAAACAACAATTTAAAACTGAAATATTATGAACGAAATGTTGATTTTTTATAAATAGCTGAATTAGTTATGCTGTGACCATGACCTGAATAATTCTACAATTGCTTATAATTCTTATTTTCTCAAATATTTACTTTTAATTGTTTTACAGAAACCGGGTAACTTACTTTTATTATCAAAATCAAGTCAAGTGCTGATGTGTTTTTGTTTGTTTACTAAATTTCTCTTAATTTGTCCATTGTGTGTAAATATAGCATTTCAGATTTATTTTTTGTTTACTTGTTTACAAGGCAGAGACGTACTGGAGACGAAAAATAGTTCTGAAATGCTATTCATATTTCCCACAGTTTTGATTTTCAGCCTCAATGGAAAAATAAAATGGAAAGTAAAAAAAAACTGTAGTTAATTTTAGGCCTATTTGTTTTCCAATATTTCGCTAGCTTCCGGTGTTTCTACTGCAAAATTTTGTTTTCTTCTTAGAGCATGAAACTAATTGATTCTTTCAAACTCTGCTGCCTTAAATAGCTATTCAGTAAATTACAGAAATACCGTTAGTAATTTATTTCTTAAAGTGAAAATAGCGCTCTCTTTAACCATTGGCTGTTTGGGCTATTTTTTGTTTTTATTCTCCAGAAATTAATATTTTCAAATCGGAATTAAGAAGACAACAAAAAGAAAAACACGAAAGGTTAAAAAAGGTTGCTATAGTTGTAAAATAAAAAAATTCTATAATCTCTGAAAGTCAGTGTTTATTCTTTAAGTGATTGATCAAAATCACATTCAGATTTATTTTACCACAGTGTGTGTGCTTTTTTTATTTTATTGTTGATAAGATTATAATTTTCTATTTATCATAGATTATTGTAAAGCTACACAATGGGTTATCTGCCCTTTGTCCACAATAGGGAATCGAATGCCAGGTTTTAGCACTGTATGTCTGTAAATACGCCGCTAAGCCTGTTTTAGCACTGTATGTCTGTAAATACGCCGCTAAGCCTCTTTTAGCACTGTATGTCTGTAAATACGCCGCTAAGCCTCTTTTAGCACTGTATGTCTGTAAATACGCCGCTAAGCCTCTTTTATATTGACAGCCTTTTATACATTATGATAAATTGCGTGATTATAAGAAGACACGAGTGAATAAGGTCACAAAGCTGTGATTTATCACAATGTAGTAGTGGGCAACCTTTGCTTAATGATATAGGAATGAGGGTGGGCATACTTAAAAATAAACCAATTGTGTGAACCCTTACACAAACACCTTAAATTTAGTATAAAAAAATAATCAGACTTAAGGAATGAGGGTGGGCAAACTTAATAATAAACCAGTTGTGTGAACCCTTACACAAACACCTTAAATTTAGTATAAAAAAATAATCAGATTTAAGGTTTCAAACTTACGTACTATCAAGTAGTTACACAACTTTCGGGCAGCGTAGTAAATCATAAATTATATTAACCAAAGTTATGAAATATATGGAATATTATTCTTATTTTTTACGTTTTATTTCATTAAATGCAACTCGTAACCATAAATAAGAATATTTCTATTAAAAAACATATGTTGTAGCTTTTGTATTTTAGATCTAGGTATTTATGTAATGAAAAAAATTGCATTCTCCATCGTTGTAAAGTAAGCTCAGTTAAAACTGATCACTCATAAAGCAATGAAATACGTTCACCGAATAACGGAAAATCTGACAACATATCTATTACACAGCAGTACTGAATTTCTATAAATAACTGAGTTCATAAGAACGGAATGAAGAGACTGGATACAATGTAAAGTACAAAGAACAGTCTCTATTATAAAACAAATACTGTTTGTGTACTTGTTTAGACGCTGTATTCGCACTTTTACTGGACCAAAGGTAACTTCCTTCCAACTAACTAGGCCGAGATTATCTGCCAACTGTTTAAATCTAACAAGTAATGTTGGATTTACCCAGATCAAATAGCACTATTCACGTCATTCTCATTCAAACATAAAAGAGGCTGTAATCTCGAGATATTACAAGACCTATCACTGAAGGATATTGCTTTCTACATTCATGCACAACGTACAGTATTACAACCATACGTCAATGGTCAGAACAGATGTTATCTCCAGAGAATAACAAAGGCAAATATAATGAATTTAGTTTAATATTCATGACAAAGCGTTATTTCAAACAGCATATGCACATAATAACTGATTAATTCCAAAATAAGAGGGAATCCTCAATAGCCGCGGCACATGATATTCTTTTAGGCAGGATTAGAGTAAATTAATCTATGAGACCATGGGCGTGGTCAAATACATCAATCGAAATAGTTTGACCTCCTGAGTCCAAAACTATAATTACATCTCAAATTTATCAAGAGATGAAGGAACTATGAGCTAAAAGTTTGTACTTGAAAAAAAAAAAGAAAGAAACTCAGAGCCATTCTATGAGCTGCTATGCTGCGGCTAAAAATAATATATTAAGATAAAAAACGCTTTGTATTTATATACTACATAAGATCACTAAAATAGTCAAACCACAAGTAAGGAAGCAAGTCTGTTTTAGAAAAGAGAACGTTCCTTTATTAAAATATATTTCATATGTGCTAGCTCAAACAATATAAAAAGAACTCTTAATACACCTTTGAAATGTGTGCTAAAAAATATATACGCTTTATATTTTATTAGTTTTACTAATCTAGATGGCGCAATTATCACACGTATTTTGATGACGCAAGAGTTGTTTACTAATTTAATGTGACAAGGGACAGAGATCTTGACAAGGTCGTAATTTGTAGTGTTCTGGTATGATCATTATGCTTTGTAAATTTCACACGTTTGTCTATTTATTTTTATGGAATCAACTTTTATTTCTTTCAGTAGAGTATAAGTGGTACTAATAATTAGTTTCTGACTCAGGCCTAGTTTTCTTTTATCTGTGTACTTTAGTATAAGTATAACAATTACGTAACAACTACTTCTATATCGTAAAAAAAGTAACCATTATTAATATTATATATTAAAGTTCAGGGCTTAAGCCTAATTTACTTAGAAGTTTGATGTGATACCCAGGCCTAATACTTCATATTCTGTTATTATGCCACAACAGCAAACCTTTGCATAAACAGGTCAGTTTGTGTTGGTATGTAAGTAACAGATATGGTGATTGAGTAATCAGTACTACAGAAAAAATATTTTTTTCTTGAAAGGCTTTGTATCATACTAAAAAATAATGTTTATCATTAAATATTCATCTTTTTATATTAACACACAAACGTATGTATAGTTTCATTAATTTTTTTTTTTGCTTTTTAATTTTATGAATGTGATTCTTTTCTTTTTTTCTTAATATAATACAAAGCTTTGTCGTGCAATAAAATAAAATCGTTCTGCAGTACTAATTACTCAGTCACCATCTCTGTAACTTGCATATCAATATAAACTGACTGGTTTATGCAAAGGTTTGTCTTCTTGGCATATTAACAATATATAAAGTAAACTAAATAATGAAATATAAATATATTTCATCTGTTTTACAACAAGAATAACAGTGTAAACTGAGGTGGTCAGTTGTTGTTTTGTTACGTCCATCTGGTAATTTCTTTTAAACAGCACTTCTAGCACAGAGTTGTTTAAATAGAATTTTCTTGTCCTCATCACTTACACTGTCATTTAAACTATCTGAAGTTTTCTTTGTAGCTGTCAATTTTTATTACTACAAGTTTTATTCATTATAATAAATAATTAAAAACAACGTTTACTATTTACACATTTAAAACTTTATTTAAGCCGTACGGCTTCCACATTAAAACAACGCTATACAAGTATTAGTTTTGTGAAGATGACGTAGAAACTAATACTTGTATAGTGTTGTTTTAAAGTGAAAGCCGTACGGCTTAAATAAAGTTTTAAATGTGTAAATAGTAAACGTTGTTTTTAATTATTTAAATATTACACAAATACCGGTAATTCATATTTCTTTGTCTACTGATTAATCCAGAAGAATAAATTAGTAGCATCAATGATATTTACTGTACAAATACTGTACTTCAGACAATCTACATCATGTATTTTATATGGTAATACATCTCTAGTGTGTTACAAATCCTGTACTTCAGACAATCTACATCATGTATTTTA